GTGCCTGTATTGTTAGTGAAGTTTGAGGACCTTGGGGGAGGTTTGGGGTCAGACCCCAAGCGTTTCCGAGGAGAAGGACCCAGCGGTCTTAGTGGCAGAGCCCAGTTCCTCTCCTGTCTGTCTCGTTTTTTCTCCAGTGCCCAGGTTATCGGCACCCTGGCAGGGTGGTCTGCTCTCCCTGGAGGTGGGCAGCTCCTGCCCAGGCTTGCAGGCTGGCCCTTGGTGGGGAGGGGTTGGTAGGGGCCCACGCAAGAGCCCCCTTCTTGGCTCGCCTGTCTTCTCTTTGGGACGCTCTGGGTGCGTCACCCTCACTGGAGGCTGGTTAGGAGTTCAGAAGACCGGACGAGGAGTCTTTGCTGCCTATGCCGTTTTAGCGCTGCTTCCGCCAGTCCAGGGTGTGAACAGCCCTGGGAAGCAGAGGGCACCGGGATCCAGGGGCATATGGAGGCGCGCCTACCCAGGACAGGATTTCCTGGCTTGTTCTTCCTTGAGCTTCCTGAGTGATCTGGGATGGACGGTAAATGGAGCCTTCCTTCCCGGGAGCAGTCCTCGGGTCCTTCTGTATCTGTTACCCATGTTTCAGATGAAGATGGGCTTGGGGGCTACTGGTGTGCTGCTTCTCTGGGTGATGGCAGAAACATTACCTGGTCAGATCTGTTACCTTTTGCAGGAATCACTCCGTGCAGTGACAGTTTGTGGTTTCCGAGTTAAATCGGGTCTGCTGATCTTAATGCTGGCCCTGGCTCTTTTATTGTTGGAAGTGAAAGAAGAGGCAGACATATTCTATTTGTATATCGATATCTATATTTTTGAACAGCAGCCTCCAGCATTTGCCTGTTTCAGCCGGTTCTGCAGACAGAGTAGGGTGTGTTGTTAGTGGGGAGACTCCGTGTCTCCAAGAATGTAAGCACGCATGCTGTCTGAATTGTGGAAGAGAAATCGGTTTACGGAGCTCTCCCATTTTATTTTAATTGCAGGCTTCTTTTTTATTTCTTTAGTAAAACGGGCTTGTGAAAAAGTAATGGGCTTACATTCTTAAATTAGGGAAAAGGAATTTTAAGCTTACTCCGAGGCTCTTCTGAACAGTTCTGCAGTTAGGTTTGCACTCCTTCCTTTTTGATTTACATATATCTTTTGTTGCCTGCTGGGCTGTCATTTCTGTGAAAGAAATTTCTCTGTACCTTGTGTGAGATCAGTGGCATTAGAAATAGTCTGCATTGTGGAGTCAAGTGCATTTTTCTTAAGAAAGAAGCCGAATCAAAGTTATGTGGTGCTCAATTAAGGAAACAGCTGAAGTACAAGTGTAATGAGTTATCTTATTTTGAAAGTCAGAATTTTTTTTTTTTTTTTTACCTCCGTGCCATGTTGCCATAGTACTGTGTTGCTAAAACCGTACATTCAAAATTCTTTTGGTGTTTTGTGTTTTTACTAGTGTCAGTGGCTTCTGGTTACTTGAAATAGATACTGGACAGTGTTCCCGTTTAGTATTTTTGTAGATGTTAAACCCGATCACCTTACTTTTCCATACAAAAAGTAATTTGTGTAAGGAGTACATTTCTCACAGCAAACAGTTACGTGAAGGAAGGAAAAGGTGATACTCAAGATGCTGTTATTACTGTTAATTTAGATTACTTGAGACGAAAATGTTTGCCTCTTAAATCATAAGCTGACATCCAGAATGCAAAGCCTTATCATTTAAAGTATTAATTATGCTCAATTATGTAACTTCAGAATTACAAGTGCACCTCTAAAATAGTGTCTTACATCTGAATTTGAATGGTTATTAGAAAACTTTGATTTTGAATCTGATAACCATCTTGTTATTATTGGCTATAGAAAAGCATTTTTATTCATATTTAGCGATTTTATTGACTGTTTGCCTCTGAAAGAAACTATTTCTTTTCAGAGTTTATTCTGAATCTCGATGCTGGAATTAGGCTTCCGGCACCAACTTGTACCGTGACGACGGTCAGCACTGAACCCGATACCTTATGTTTGCATAGCGTGTTGAAGTTTCCAAGGCTCTTTAAGGTACATGCTGATGCCGTTCGGTTCCTTTCTCACACTTGGACTCTTGTGAGGCTGACGTTGACATCTCCGTTTTTCTGGGGAGGCGGCTGCGGAACCCAACTATGCAAGTTTGTGGGCAGCTGAGATGTAATTTGAACTCAGGTCTCCTGTCTCTTAAGGCCATTGTTCTTGCTATTTGTGCCTTCCTGCAAAGATAGAATACAACACACGCTAATTTAAAACGCTGTAGAGATCAATGTAATTAATATGCTCTTTTCTGGTGGACTTACCTTGATTTTTATAAAAAAAGTTTCTTTCGATACTTACCTAGTGGTCTGTTTGAAGAAACAAACATGTATAGTAGGTTTATCTATCCTACAGGATTTTAATGCTCCGGCCAAGAGGCACTTTGAATTAAAGCCCTCCTGTGACCAGCTTATTACTTTAGTAATCAACACATTATGATAATGAAACCGTTTATAAATGAGATGTTGCCATTTTTAAAAAATTCAGTAGTTGTAAACATTGATCAGCCTCCTCGCTGAATTATTTTTTTCTAATAATCTGTAAGTAAGAACTTGAGCTGGGATGGCCTCAAGATCTACGCTCCTGTGCTAATGGAAGTCAGCTTTTATACCTTTTCCAGGCTTGCGTGTCACGGTGAGCATTAGTTGCTGACTTTTATTTTCTTAGGCTAACTGGCTCTCCTTCCCCCTACCCTGTAAATACTGAGCACTGTTGTTTCTCTACCAAATGTAATGGGTGATGTTTACTTGATGTTAAAATCAAATCAAAGAAGATAGGCTTTGGTATGTCTCTCCCCACTTCCCGAGCCCCTGGAAGGAATTGACATTGTCTGTTTCTTGCCAGGGAGGTTAACTGGAGATGAAAGTAGTGTTCCATGTTTTGTATTATATTTGCTAGTAGGGGATGTGCTGACTCTTACTAAAAAACATCTTTAGAAATGTCTTATGCATTATAATTTCATCCAGCTCTCTGGTACTGCTTTCAATCCAAGCCAAGTAACCATTAAATAAGATTACATAACCCTGTATTTTTAATTATCTGATATAATATATGGATTGGTGGATGGTTCACTGCCAAGTTATATTTAGTGGTTGGTTACAAGAGGAAGCGGAGCAAAGGAGTCAAGATGATGGTGGTCTGTTTGTGTCCGGATTGATAAAGTTCTCTGTTGGTATTTCAAGATGGTAATTTTTCATATTGCATCCATTTCTCTGATATTAGTGCTCTTAGCATCACTCAGGATGTACGTGAGGGGTAAAAACACATGAAGGGAGGATCGTTATTTAGCCCCACATGCTTCTCTTTGTTCAACAAAACCCTGATGGCTTGAGGTGTCATTTGTGGTGCCCCCCCCCCCCCTTTTAGAAACTGTTTGCAGTTCGCTTGAATGTTGTCAGACGTGTAGAGTAAGAGAGACAAATGAGAATGGAGATTGCAGACTTATATTTAGAAGTGGTGTGCGAGTTTCTGTTTCATCCAAAGGAGGGTGTGGTTTTTTAGTTTTTAATTGTTTTTCTTAGAGGCTTTTCAGAGTTCTCGTTTGTTTTTTTAGGCAAACCATTTCTGAATTTCCTGTAGTGTGTTATGATTCGGAGCGATCCAGCAATTGTGAGTTACAGTGTTTTGGTATCTGGTCATTAGTGACATGTTTCCTGAGAACCTGCCAGGTCCTTGTGCCGGGTCCTGGAGGGAGCGAGGGGAGAAAACAGACTCTGCTGCTGAGAAACGAGCGCTCTCATATGTCTTAATTTGAGAGTGAGTTTCAAGTGCATAGATGCCCTCCTTTTTAACTGGGGAATGTCTTCAACTCTCCTTCAGAAGTACTGAGTGACTAGGTGGTTTAACTCAGTCAGCCTAGGGACATTTTCGAGGCTCTTCTCTGTGCCCCGTCTTGTCTGCCATCTGAATACTGGTAACAACCCAGAAGTGTAGACGTTAGCAGCCCAACGTTTCAGTTGTAGAAACTGAGACTCCCAGCGACTGAAATGACTTACTCCGGGTGACATGCTTGCCAAATGCCCGCGCGAAGGTGCAAGCAGTGTCGTTCTTTCCGGGACCTCACTGGCCCGCAGAGGTACAGGGGCAGGCTGGGACGGCCGTTAGTAATGGTGCCGGAACTGAAAGATTCTATAGCATCTGTTCTTGTACCTCACCCTGGGAATTTCTGCTCTAGGGTATCTCCTGTGACCACATCCCTTCTTCCCCCCCCCCCCCCGCCCCCCGTCCGCCCCATGGATCCAGATTGCCCATTTTGTCCCAGAGCAGCCGGTGCTTACGGTGCTTACGTCTCCGATGGTGTCCTCGTCGGCACAGCACATCATTGCGACCTCCGTCTTTGTGGGACACTCTTCCATCTCTCTGTCCTGCGCACCTCCTGTAACTCTCGGCACCTGGCTCCTGCAGCCTCCCACCCCGCGTTGTTTCAGCGTTGTGTTTTAATATTCCTGGAGGTGGGAGACTCAGAAAGTGTTGAGCAGTGGGTCCCTTAAAGGACAGCTGAAAGGGGCAGGGATGAAGTCTGGACCGGCCCCAGGGACACAGACCAAAGAGGCGCTAAGTGAGATGCAGCCGGGAGCCAGCACAAGGCCCCAGTGCCCTTTGGTGGGTGGGGTAGAACCATAGGGGGTCCTTCTCTGGGAGATAAGAGATGTTAGCAGATCCGCTTTGAATCAGATGTTTATTTACTTTTCTTCTTCTTAAGCAATTGATTAAGCCAGTGTGCTCCAATACAGCGAGCTCTCCTTGCCTAAATTCCTGCGTGAAATTTCTTCTGACGGGTTAAAAAGCGGAAACTTGAAGCCCTGGGACCATGGCAGACTCCCGCCCTCTTACCTGAAGGGGGTGGTCCACATTAGCAGCGGGCGGGCGGACACCCACGTGCAGAGAGCGGCTGGGACTTCGGATGGATCGGGCGTCGGCAGCCGCCCTGGCATCACAGGACCCTTCAGCTGGTCGTCATCTTCCCACCGAATGAGGATAAAGCGGTTTACATTTTTTACCAAAAAATAGAAGTGTTCCTTAGCATTGGGGATGATGATTATGATGCAGGCTGCCAAACTGAGGGCCTCCGTGCCAGGTGCTTCCTGTGCATTATCTCCAGTCCCCACAAAGATCTCGCAAGGTAGGTGGTTTTATGCCCTGCCTGCCTCTTTTGTTTTTTTCAGATGGCGCGTCTGAGTCTCAGAAATGTGAAGTAGCTTGCCCAGTGAAGGTGCACAATTTTGAATAGTTGGGCTGCAATTTTAAATCTAGTCTGTGGGGTTTTGATAGGCTACTTTATGAAAAGAGATAAAAGGACAGAAGTCGACATTGTTTTTAAATAAAAGTTTTATTGTAGTAGAAGCCAGTTAGGGATTTTCCTTTGGCGATGGTAGATTTTAAGAAACGGTCCCCTAAAGTATGCTCTACCGCAAAGGCTGTTCACTTTCTTCCTGTGTTCTCCAGCAGCACTTTTCAGCCTTTAGTGGGCATTGAAGGCAAGGAGTTTTAGTTGTGTGTCCCGATGGTCAAAGAGAAAAATAGGAAAACTTTCACTGTAGAAAGTGACTAAGTCAAATTTCGTTGTTATTTTTTTTTTAAGTTTATTTATTTATTTTGAGAGCGAGAGAATCCCAAGCAGGCTCGCACTGTCAGTGCAGAGCCCAAGGTGGGGCTCGAACTCACGAACCATGAGATCATGACCTGAACGGAAATCAAGAGTCAGATGCTTAACCAACCGGGCCAGCCAGGTGCCCCTAAATCAGATTCTTGAGAAAGCTCTGTGGGTCTTTAAGGAACCTCTCAGAGGCACGGAGCTCTTTGTATTTTAATTCTGTATCGTAGGTACAATTGGTTGAAAGTATGATAGCAGAAGTTTTTAGTCAGTTTGTGGTATGTGTAGAAATTCTCCATTTTCTAAAAACAGGCTCAAAAAGCGAGGGGAAAAGAGTGCCAAGAACGTAAAAGAACATATTCCACCGACAATGGTTTTGGCTCTGGGATGGAGGTGGGATGGGGGTGGGGAGGATGTTTGAATAACCTCGCCTTGCGATTGCTAATAGTAATAGTTGCCATTTATCAAGAGGTTTTTTCTGGGTTAGAAGCTTTATGTCCATTTTTTCATTTAATTTTTCTAACGGTGTTAAAAGAGTAAATCGGTTTACTTTATTTTACAGGTGAGAGAAGTGAGGGCATTGCAGGACAAATAATTTGCCTAAGGTCAGACAGCTAAGTGGTAAACCGAGATTTAAATCCTTACCTGCCTACCTCCAGGACACTAGACACTTTACCTGGGGGCACCAGGTAGAGGTGCATTTTCATCTTTGACTTCCATGGAAATTCTCTGTCATGCAGCTCTGAAAATTAAGTGCTCGGTATTGGGCCAGTGGTCTATGAGGACGGCAGAGTGCATGCTGTCCAGAGGGACACACAGTGGCCTGACAAAACGGGGCAGAAACTTTGTGACCCGTGGCGGCATGGCAGGTGTGGTGGATGGCATTTATAGGGGAAAGGGTGTTACTTAACAAGGGAGGAGCTGCTATAGAAGGAGCCTCAGGGGCCGCCTGGGTGGCGCAGTCGGTTAAGCGTCCGACTTCAGCCAGGTCACGATCTCGCGGTCCGTGAGTTCGAGCCCCGCGTCAGGCTCTGGGCTGATGGCTCAGAGCCTGGAGCCTGTTTCCGATTCTGTGTCTCCCTCTCTCTCTGCCCCTCCCCCGTTCATGCTCTGTCTCTCTCTGTCCCAAAAATAAATAAAACGTTGAAAAAAAAAATTAAAAAAAAAAGCGCCTCAGTTTCCTGTCTGTAAAATGGGAGCACCTATACCTCCTTTGTAGGGCTGTTCTAGACATGAGATTAAGTACAGTGTCTAACACATAGCAGGTGCTTAATAAATGTTGCCTGCTAGTTTTATGCAATAGCCTGAGACCACATGTGCATGCTGGGTCACTTTTCAGATGTAAAACGTGTAATAACTGTCTAGTTTCAATTCTCAGGGTGATTTTTTTGTTATTAGAATGAGTGTAGTTTTAAAATCTAGAAAAAATAGACTCATTCTTCGGAAGCTTATTTAGTGATAACCCTGTGCAAAGTTAGCACTCTGATTTTTATGGTGCTGTTCAAGGTTCTGTGGCACCAGAAGCGTCAATGAGCAAATGAAGCCTCCCTAAACGGCTTTGTGACTGCCCACATTAAAACGTAGCTGGACCCTCAGCAGCTCCTCTCCACCAGCACAAGATCTTTTACCCTGGATTGGACAGCTGGACATTTCCATATTTTTTTTGCCCATCAGCCCCTGCGGCTATTTTAAGGACTTTAGAAGTAGTGTTCGTGGCGCATCACTGATGTTCTTCGTGGTATGATAAAGAGCATGCGGAAGTGAGAACGCCCTTTCTGATGCACATGTTACAGGGGCGGGGGTCGCTGTTGTTTCCAGCTCTCCTGGACATCCCAACGGAGGGGAGCAGGGGTAGTTTGCACGGGCGTCCCTGTCCCTCGGTCGGCACTTGTGCTCTGCTCCGGCTCCACTAGATGGCGCTGCGCACAGCTGGTTACCCCTGGTCCCGCCGGTAGCTACTCGGAACCGGGCTTGATGGTCCGCAGGCCGGCGTTGCTTTCGATACCCCTGTATCGGCATCAGCCTTTCACAGTTCTGATTTTAAGAGGCGCACTCTGTGGCTGTCCTCAGTATTCGCCGAGAACCATGACTGCCGTTTCGTGGGCACCTCCCGAGTGCTTCGGGTGTGCCAGGGGCTGCTGCCGGGTCCTTTTTCACACGTTACCTGGTTAACCCTGGCGACCTCTGGCAGGTTGCTCTGTGCTCGCTGTGCAGGTGAACAGACACAGGTTACAGGGATTCAGAGCTCGTGCAAGGTCACGGGAGAGGGCTCACTATGCCCTACAGAAAAATTATCTCCAAAGCGTTGAATTGAAAACTTTATTCAAGGTAAGTGTTAGGATAGTCTGATTTATGGCTGTCGGCCATAAATTTGTTTGTTCTGTGGGGGAAATTATAGTCCTGTTATTTGCATTGGAGCCGATGAGTCAAACTCTTCCATTTGTGTGAGGAAGCAAACCGTAGTAACCAAAGCTTTGTCAGCTGGTGTGGAAACATCTGCTTCTTCCTGGGTAAGGGGCTGACCAGGTCCAGGTACAAAACCTGGGAGGAATTTTGGACAAAGACACGATTACAAATTTAGTAATTTTAGCAGAGCGGAATACTGGAAAGAGGCCACAGGACTTCAGAAACGTATCCTGAGGTTTCTTTCATTTTGTTCGTTTATTCAACTAATATTTGTTAAGTACCTGACCTGTTAAATTGAACTGTGTGTTCTGGGCCAGTTACTTCCGTGTCTACACTGGCAGTAATGCCTGCCTCATAGGTCACTAAGGTGGAAAGACAAAGATTTTATAGGTATTTACTTTCATTCTGAGTTTTTAACATACAGGGCATATTTGTCACATCTAATATGAGATCACTACACATTTATGTTTCTCATCCTCATGTCGTATCTTTTATATCTGACTTTCCTACATCAGATCTTGGTTATCTACCAGTGCAGTAGAGTATCTGCTGGCCGTTTTTATAGGGCCGGCTTTCTCCTCCCACCTCGTGCCTCCTCTGCTCCTGGCCTTGAGTTTGGATGTGCTCGGCATACTGTAAACAGAGCCGAGTACTGAGAGAGGTCCCTTTCACCTCCCGTTTGCCTAACCAGCGCGTGCCTGCTGCTGACTGAAAATGCTGGGACGAGGTTCAGACTGTTTGGTAACAAGGAGAGGCTGAGGACAGTTCTCAGTCACACAGGTTTGAGCCGCTTCTTTGTGTTGTGACCTTGGATTCATGAACCCTGCTCAGCCTCAGTTTCCATGACTATAAAATGGTTGTTGAAAAAAAGGAAGCCTGCTTGGAGTCTTTGTGTGATGAGATGTATAGTGTCATGCCTGGTAGGTACTAAAGCATGGGGTAAACAGCTGCTCCCGCCATCATCATCATCATCATCACCACCACCACCGCCACCACCACCATCGCCACCACCACCATCACCGTCTTCAGTCTTCGTCATTTGTCAAGCAGTCTGCAGTCCGGGGAGGGAGATAAACACGTAGAGGGAATGGCTCCAAGAGTGTGTTCGGTAGGAGAATGCAGAGAGGTTTTCGGGGCTCAGAATGACTTCAGCTCATCATGGGGCCAGGGCGAGTCCTCTTCGAAGAGGGCTTGGCTGGACACCGAACCCATCACAGGTGGGAAAGGGACTCGGTCAGCGACACAGACCCTTTCCAATCTCCGCACGTAATTCTTAGCTCCAGGCTCCCCTATGTTTCCGTCGCACCTAGTATTCCTGTTGGCACTTTGTGGTTATTTGCTTATCTCTCTTCTCTCCCCCTCCCGTTGTTAAGACCTTTATTTCTTATTCTAGGCATTGAAAACTTTTATTTGGAAACAGTTTTAAAATAAAAGAGTTGAAAATATAGTGCTAAGGCGTCCCGTATGCCCGTTTGTCTGGATTCCCCAGTTGTTAACGCTTTCCCATCGTCCCCGTGTATTTACGTATGTTCCTGGCTCGTTGGGGAGTAAGGTGCCCACCTCATCTCCCCTTGCCCCTAAAAATCCACCTTAGCGTGGATTTTCTCTTACGTAACTGCAGTTCTGGAGGCGAGTGATCACATTTAGGAAGTCGATCGTTGTTTCATACAACTGTCTCGTCTGCAGTCCGTGCGCCACTCTTGCCGTGCTTCCCATTTGGTCTTGGAGAGGATCCAGTTCAAGACCCGAGAGTGCATTCAGCTGTTTAGTGTCTTTTAGTCTCTCACTTTGGAAGAGCACCTGCGTCTTCCTTTACCTTTTATGCCGTGCGTGTTTGATTACCACAGAGACCAGGTTTCTGTGGGTCGTCCGTCTGGGTTGTCCATTTCCTTAATATCCGGTTCACGTGCTTCCGCAGGAATCCCCCTGAGGCGATGGTGTGTCCTGCTTGGCACCTCCTATTGGGAGGCACACGGTGTCGGGGTCACGTTGTCCTGTGACCGACGATATAGGTTTGATTACTTGGTTAAGGTCCTGCCAGCTGTCTCCACTGCAAAGATATTATTTTCCTTTTGTAAGGAAATTAGTATTTTTTGCGAGGAGACACTTGTAAATACTCCGTT